ACTCAAATCCCTCACCCCTTCCATGATCTCAGATTATTGACCAAAAGTTTAGACTTTACTAGGCTGTCAGTGTATAGCTCAGAAGGTAAGACAGAAGTAAATTCTTTACTATTCACAGAAGGAAGTTATTTGATACTGTCTAAATTAAAACATGGGGTCAGAGTGACCCAGTACCCCTGCTAATATTGAAGATAAGTAAGTTTCTGAAAACAGTGAGGGAAAGAGTGGGCAGGAGCTCGTTCTATTATCACGGACAGTGCCGTAGACAGAGCACCTGTTTATTCTGGGCTCTACCTAATCGTCATGGAGATAGGGGCTCAATATTCTGATCAATAATTAAAGTTGACATTTTAATAGAATTTCATAGCAATTTCAAAAAGTGTCATTGCACTCTTTATCTTATATAAGCCTTACCACAAATCAGTGAGAGGAATAATCAGGCAATATCCCAAGAGTATATGTAGTAACATCTTTTGTTAGGTGAGACCAGCAAAGTGTGGGGGTTTCTCAGCCAATCAGTGGTGAATCCTGAGCTACAATGTAGGTCTCTTGATGCTAATTTTTTTGCTGTCCTTCAACACCACATTGCCTCCATCTGTATTTCACTGGCATAGATGCATAGCCTAGGTCCTCTTCTTTGAAGTAAACTTCCTGTTTGAACTTCAAAGAACAGCATCTCTAGAAGAAATGAAAGAAAAAAATGAATAGATCTTTCTTCTCTCATTCTCAAACAGACAGTTTCTGTGAGAGTATTATTTTAACAGAAATAGTGCACAGAATAAAATGTCTTAGATGTGCTAAATGTGCAAATTAAGTAATGCTGAGTAAAATACAAGTATTGAAAAGTATGAAAATCTGTTGAGGATTTCTTACACTCTACGAGCACTTTATTAAGTGTTTTGCCAGTATACTTTATTTAAATTCTACGTAATAGGTGTTTAGCATCCCCTTTTTGCAGATGGGGAATGTAAGGTATAAAAGTTTAACTTGCCTGAGGTCTCTCTGGGCTCTCAAAGTTAGCCTAATAGAGTCTAGATGTATGCCCAGCCAATGTAACTTTCATTCTCTTAACATTTGAGGTTCTTTAGAATGGCCCTGTCAATAACAGACGTGAACACTGATACACAAAGCACTGAATATTGTAATCCTCAGACATTTACTAATTAAATAAAAAATAAAAATGTCATGTCTCTTAAAGAGAAAACATAGCTACAGTTGATGAAAATTGCTTTCTTAGAATTCGCATATATTAATCAGAAAGATAGCAAAATATTGTTTGTTTTACATCTTATTGTGTAAATAACATGCCTCGGTCTCCCCCTCTATTCTGACAAATATTGTTTCTCTTCTATGCAGTATTTCCCTAGGCCCTGCTGAGATATTTCAGTCAACTCTTTAGCCCAGAGATTCCTTAGCCAAAGATCAGGGCTCTCAATTTCTAAGAGTTTCTAAAAATAATACTAAAATTCATGAGATATTTCTTTTATTTAAAAGACCCTTAAAATAATCTTATTTATTGCTGCTTATATTTTTCCTAATGGCTTATACATTTTGTAGTAAAATAACACATACAGTATTTATTTAACATTCTTTTTTAGCCAGTCAGTGCTCTGGGAACTTTGTGTTGAGAAGTGATTGAGGAAATTAACAGGATTCTGAATTTTTCTCAATGACAGTAAGTTAAATGGACAGAACCCTTTATGCCTCTTGTCTTACCTTTAGTAACTGTTTGATTTCTATTTGATCCCTTTGCTTGCTCCTGTCCAATGCTTAAATTCACCAAAAGGACAGCAGACAAAAAGTAAGAGAAATCTTTTTTCTTGGAGGAAGCATTCACTCTAAGTCTCCCAAGGTTAGCAGGAGGTATAGCTGGAACAGACTCTATGGAAAACCTGTTAAAGAAGTAGGAAAGCTGAAACTGTTCACCCCTTCCTTTGATGTTACTCTGCATTCAGCATGAGTTGAGTCCTTCATTCCGTTACTTTCCCTTAAAGATAACATTGCAATATTTTATACCAGAGTAAAACACATTGCAGTATACAGAGTGTATCACTGGAGTGCAGCTGTCATATCAATTGCAGTTTATTTCAATGGTGGAGTCTCTAGAATTGACTCTCGAGTAAGCATCCTAACTTATATAAAATATGTTTCTTGTTATTTCATTTCCAGGGACTGTGTCTCTCATGTCACCTCATTGTTATCTGCTTATTTTTCCCCTCTGAAGCTAAGGAGATCACAGGTCTTTTTCATGTTTCTCTCCTTTACCCTTGGGACACCTGGGTCTAGCAGAGAATGCGTTTGAGTCCCATATTACTAACCACTGTGAATCATTTTTCTTCTGTCTCCGTGATAACTGGAGGTTTGCTCTCGGGAGAATCAACAGAATCCACAAAACAGCAGAGTAGCTCTACTGTGGCCCCGTCTTCTATACGTGTACCTGTCAGCAGTCGTGCTGCCTAGATAATGGTGAGGGAGGTAGAGAAAACAGGAAGCTCTTGGCTTGGAATCCTGACTTGGTGTCTGGCTGATTGTGTGACTTTGGGCATTTCACTAAACCTTTCTGTGCTGAATTATTAATTTTCTGATAGAATTGTCCATAGATAGCATTGCAATACCTTTTCTAATATCTACCTTATAGGGTGACTCTGGAGATAAAATAACAAATGTGAATTGCTGCATCCACTACATATAATAATTAATATGCATCAGAAAACACATGTATTTACGGGGGCACTTGACAAGCAGTACATACCCAGTAATTGTTAGAATGTAAAGAATTAATCACTGACAGTTAAGTTGCAATGAACCTTTACAAAGAACCAAGGGACCCCCAAAGGTCGATAACCAAGCCACAAGCATTTATTAACCAATAGAAGAAATGATGACTAATAAAGATGTGACTTTCAGTCTGGAGAGCTTATACATTAATATGAATCATGAATAATTGTGAAAACCTGTTCAGCCACCCTTTCTGTAGTCATAGAAAAAGAGACTGGACCAAGTGATAATAGCAATCATGCAGCAGCAGCAAAGAGTTTGTGAAAAAACATCCTTCTGTTTTAAGTATGGATACCACACAAACTGCAATAACAACTAATGACTTATTTTATGTGCTCTGGGCAAATTGGCAACCTCTGGAGTAGTATCTTGATGACAGTATCTTGATGTCCCCTACCACTGACCTCCTTGTGACATATGACCTTCCTTTCAACCTCCATCCATCCTCCATTGCACCAACCTTAATCTCACTTAAATCACCACAGTTTGTTCTCATGTAACAACTAATCTACACTTAATATCAGATGCCTACAACTTAAAGGCAATCTCAGTGGAGGTGATATTCTCTTTTGAGGACATCATGGAAATTTTTGGCTGTCACAATGACAGAGGGTTATACTGCAGAATCTAGTGAGTGAGAGGCAAAAATACAGAAAGACTGCAAGCTATAAGACAGTCCCAAACAACAAAAATTGCCCATTCCCCTTGGGATGATTAAGTATCCCGCTAGTTATAATGCACTTGAGAGCATTATCAATAGATGGGATTGCAATATCCTTTCTAATATCTACCTTATAGAGTGACTCTGGAGATAAAATAACAAATGTGAATTGCTGTATGCAATACATATAATAATTAATAATTGAGTTTCCTTCACTCTTAAACATTTTTCCCCACTCTCCAGAGTAAGAAATAGTTATTAGTAGCCAGGCACAGTGGCTCATTCCTGTTATCCCAATACTTTGGGAGGCCAAGGCAGGTAAGGAGGTGTGGAGTTTGATACCAGCCTGGCCAACATGGCAAAGCCCTGTCTCTACTAAAAATACAAAATTGGACAGGCATAGTGGTGTGCACCACTCACTCTACCACTCCATTATTACCTAAAATCTTGATATTCTGTGTCCCTGGCCACTGACATCCTTGTGCCATATAATCTTCCTTCCAACCACCATCCATACTCTAACTGTACAAACCTTAATCTCACTTAAACCATCACAGTTTGTTCTCATGTAACAACTAATTTATACCTCATATCGGATACCTATAATTTAAAGACCATCTCAGTGGAGGTGATTTCTTCCTGATCCTCTTCCTTTTCCCACCCTCCACCCTCATCAGGGTATGTTATTCCCCTCTATGGGTCCATGCGTTCTTATCATTTATCTCCCAGTTATAAGTGAGAACCTGTGGTATTTGGTTTTCTGTCCCTTAGTTTGCTAAGGAAAATGGCCTCCAGTTCACGGGAAATGACCAGACAGATCAGAAAGTTGATGGTGACAGGTATACAGAACTCTGAATAACTGCTTTTAAATTTACGCTTCTTTATTTTCTTCATAGATAAATCCTGGTTTCTCCAAGGAATTTCTATAAGACTTTGTTTGTAGTAGCTCTTTGTTGCCACTTGAAATTAGTTCTAATAAGCTTTACTGAGTTACAATTGATACACAGATAACTACACATATTTAATGTGTACGATTTAATGAGCTTAGACATAAGCAAACACCCATGATATCAACACCACAATCAAGGCAATATAAATATCTAATACCACTCAGGGTTTCCCTGTGTTGCTTTTACTTTTGTTTTAATTACAAATAACGTTGCATTTCTTTTTCTCTAAGCATTAGAGCAATACATATTTGCCGGTTCATAAAACATGGAAATAACATCCTCTTTCAATAGACTTTCAGGCATTAGCAAAAAGACTTTTCTCAACTACTCCCTAATTCTCCTTATGTAGGCATCTTTAGTTTGCACAAAACAGCCCATGCAGTGCTTCTTACCAACTCAATCATCACTAGAATGTCTTAAAAATTCCCCTGTGTTTCATTCTTTTATCATTAAAGTTGAAGGGGAAGAGAGTGAAATTCCTGGGAGGATCACAGTTCATCAAATCTTTTTGTTTCCTGTGAGTGCAGAAAGTATTTCATCATATTTCTTCTGGGAATTGTCTGTGACACTTAAATACCTCCTGCACACAGGAGCAAGGGTGGGATGAGCAAGTAGCTCAGACAGCAACCAGACTAATTCACCGTGTTTGGATTCTTCACGGAAAGTACATATGGTATAATCCATCAAAGAAGAGGAACACTCAGCCTCTCACCAACAGGTAGAAAGCAGGTCAGGTCATAGGTCTGAATGTAGAAAGAGATGTGACCTCTTGGGGTGGAGTACTATGTTGTCCAGCGTCTCTTTGAACATGGGTTCTGGTTGTCACAATGTCCCTGCTATTTTAGTATTTCAAAAAAAAGACAAAGACCATGAGTTGAGCATTTAGGATGTCTCATTACAAGTCTAAATTGAGAAAATGCTAGGAATGGAGGATTCTACAGAATTTGTATTCACCACGCCATCTGTATCACAGATAAGGAAGGTGCATCCAATGTAGCAATTTACTGAGATCAAACAATTGATTCTTTAAAAAGCATAGGACTGTAAACAGGATCTCCAGATTCTTGCTCCACTATTCTTTTCACATGAACTTGAAAAAGCAAGTGATACATAGAAATCTTAAATACATTTTTTTCCTTTATTTACTTCCATAACAGAATACTTGTGCTGATCTTGTGTTAAATATTTGAATTTATTATTAACAACGGAATATGCTTATCTGCTGAATATTCTATCATTTCTTTTACAGTCTAATGGGCTGAACATTGGTGACATGGGACCAAAAAGAAAAGTGTAGAGGTTTTCTTTCCTTTTGTCTCAGTCAAGCTCAATTTTGAATATGACAGCCTTGTCTCTAAATATCATTTAATGGAATTGCTACAGAATTAAATCTACGTCTCCCTAAAAAGTTCGAGCAGTCCATGATACATCATTTCTATGTAATAGGCATGAAACATTTTTTCTAGGAATTATGAGGGCACCCTCATCTAGTGAATTAAAACATCAATACTTGCACACAGTGACCAATTGTACTAAGCACCTAATACATGATGTCACTAAATTCAGCACTTTATCTATATTCTAATAAATTTTTACAGAAATTTATTGAGGGAGCCATTATTAGCTTCAATGAGCAAATGAAGAATTATGACTCCAAGAAGCTGAGTCTTGTGTTGAAATAAGAAGTAGCAGATGGTAAAACCTGAAATTGTCTGTTCACTATAAATGAGAACAGACAGGATGCTTTACTGCTGGTGAAGCACCTTCCCATACACTACTTTATTTAACCAGAGCCTTGAATCTATAAGGGAGAAAAGAATTATTTTTTAATTACATTTTCCAATCTAATTAAATGGATTGACTGGCGCATATCCAGCTGTGGATTAGAGTCCTGACTCACAGTTCTTCTTACAAGGTTATTTCTTACCCTTTTAAATACTGCAATTTAGTATCTGCATTTTAATTAGTGTCTGAGTCTGTTTCCTCATCTATAAAAGTATAAGTATAGGCATTTTGGCTCATGCCTGTAATCCTAGCACTTTGGGAGGTAGAGGCAGTTGGATCACCTAAGGTCAGGAGTTCAAGACGAGCCTGGCCAACATAGTGAAACCCTGTCTCTTCTAAAAATACAAAACTTAGCCAGGTGTTATGGTGAGTGCCTGTAGTCCCAGCTACTTGAGAGGCTGAGGCAGGAAAATTACTTGAACCTAGGAGGTGGAGGTTGCTGCAGTGAGCCTAGATCACACCTCTGCACTCCACCCTGGGAGACACACTGAAACTTTGTCTTTAAAAAAAAAAAAACAAGTATAAGTATAAGTTTGGCTAGATGGGTCCATTTTCAACAATAAGATCATTTTTTCTCTTGCTAAAGTTGAAGAACACGCTGACAAATGTTAGATAATTCTTTGTTTTTGTTTTATTCTTGTGGGTTCGTTTTAAATTCCTACATGAAGAAATAAAGGGAAAAAATGAATACAGCACCACATAGGGAATTGGTAGTCCCAAATTCAAGAATTGGTAGTACCAAATTCTGGTTCTGCAACTGACAGAATCAGCAAGTGACTTTGCCAACCCCTCAGCCTACCTTTTTATTTCCTCATCAATCTAGCCTATGAAAAGATCTCTGCATTCACATGTAGTGAGAAATAGCTGAACTAGAGTAGGGACAAGTGTTCTCTTCTTTTTTTGTAGCAACTTTATTCAGGTATAACTGATGTACAACAAATTAAGTATGTTTAAAGTATAAAGTTTGATATGTCTTAATATATGTATACACTCACAAAACCATTATCACCATGAAGATAGTAGATAAACCCATTACCCCCAAAGTTTCCTCATGCCTCTTGATACTCCCTCCCCTCCACTCCACCTGACACACACCTCTATCCAGGAGATCGTTGATCTTCCTCTTGTCAATATTAATTTTCTTACACTTTCTAGATTTTTATAAATCGAATCACACAAGGTATACTCTTTTTATTTGGCTGTTTTCTCTCAGTCTAATTATTTTGAGATTCATTCAACACATTGTTTGTATCAATAATCTGATTCTTTTGATCATTAAGTACAATTTCATTTTATGGACATACCCCAATTTATTTACTCTGCCACCCATGTATGGTTAGGATGTTTTCAGGGTTACTAAATGAGTTTACAAGAAACTACCAAGGTGTTTTCCAAAGTGGTTGTACTAGTTTACATTTCTACTAATAATGATGAAATTTCCAGTTACTCTATTTCCTTGTCAACTCTTGGTATACTTAGTCTTTTAAAAGTTTAATCATTAGTGTGTAATATTATTTGATTATGTTTTTAACTTATATTCTCCTAATGAATATTTGAGCAATTTTATGCATTTATTCGCCATTCAGCTATCTCCTTTGGTAAGTGAGCTTCTATTGAATTTTTGGGCCTATTCTTATAGGATTCTTTGATTTTTTATTATTAGGTATTAAAATCTCTTTGTATATTATGGATACAAGTTTTTAAAATCAGAAATATGCTTTTTTTTATTTTTCCTAGACAACACAGTAACTCTGGCTTTTTAAAATTATATTTTACTTTTTGTTAATATTTCTGACCTTCAGCTCCAAGTATTTCACTTTCTGTGTATGTGTGACTTGTTATACTTTGAGATTCTCGTGTCACCTATTTTCCTTTCTATGTCCACCTGTAATGAAAATTAAAGTTTATTCCTAATCTCCATTTATATTTGCTTTGTTTTAGAAAGAAGAAATACTCAACACTGTTCTTCTTTACTCATTAATAACACACACAATTGTACAGACTGAGTCAAACATCTGGTATCACGTGATGAATGACCCCAGAACACCAAGATCATTGGAGAAGCAGAACGTGTCATTCCCAAGAAGTTAACACTTCCTTCTGTTGTGAATGGGCACATGGAGAGGACACATCATCTAATTTAACAAAGCCATTTGAGTTATTCGGTCAGTCCTAGAATCTAATTACTGGAAAGATTTTTATGAATCATTCTAAACGAAACCTTCATTTATTGTAGAAATATATGTATATACATACAATAGATAAATAGATATATAGATATTTTGCAATATCTCTGGCATATAATTGCTTGTCTTTAGTTTGAATATTTTCAGTGGCTGTGAAATTACTACATCCATCAATAAACTAAATCTAGGCACACATACGCTTGATGCAATGGATAAAGAAAACCACTCAATGGTGACTGAGTTTATCATCATGGGCATCACCCAGGACCCTCAGCTGCAGATCATCTTCTTCGTGGTCTTCCTCATAGTTTACCTGGTCAATGTAGTGGGGAACGTTGGTATGATCATCCTTATTATAACAGACACTCAACTTCATACACCCATGTATTTTTTCCTATGCAACCTGTCTTTTGTTGACCTGGGCTACTCCTCAGCCATTGCCCCCAGGATGCTGGCTGACTTCCTAAAAAAGTACAAAGTTATCTCCTTTTCCAGCTGTGCCACCCAGTTTGCCTTCTTTGTAGGTTTTGTAGATGCTGAGTGCTATGTCCTGGCAGCCATGGCCTATGATCGTTTTGTGGCCATCTGTCGACCCCTCCACTACAGCACCTTCATGTCCAAGCGGGTCTGCTTGGCTCTCATGCTGGGCTCTTACCTGGCTGGTCTAGTGAGTTTAGTAGCCCACACTACCCTCACCTTCAGCCTGAGTTACTGCGGTTCCAATATCATCAACCATTTCTTCTGTGAAATCCCACCACTCTTGGCCCTTTCTTGCTCAGACACCTACCTCAGTGAGATCTTGCTCTTCAGTCTGTGTGACTTCATTGAATTCAGCACCATCCTCGTCATCTTCATCTCCTATATCTTTATCCTCATTGCAATTATCAGAATGCATTCAGCTGAAGGCCGCCTTAAGGCTTTCTCCACCTGCGGGTCTCACCTTACTGGTGTCACCCTCTTCTATGGCACAGTCATGTTTATGTACCTGAGGCCAACATCCAGCTACTCCCTGGGCCAAGACAAGTGGGCCTCTGTGTTCTACACAATTATCATCCCCATGTTGAATCCCCTGATCTACAGTTTGCGGAACAAGGATGTGAAAGCTGCTTTCAAAAAACTAATTGAAAAAATATATAATAACACAAAATGAAAATCTGTTTTTGTCATAGGTAAATGATAGTAGTGGAGAAAGATAGGAAATGCAAATAAGTTTTTGATAAACACCAAAGTTATCTTCTTGCTAAGTAAATATTACATTCTGAAGGGTGGTCTCTAATCCTTAACTCTACAATCTGAAAGAAATATAAATTAAATTAGTATTTTTGAAAGACATACTGAAAGATGCATTTGTTTCTTATTTAAAGTTGGTTTACACATTAATTAGAAATTGGGGCAGAACTTGATAGAAGAAAGAAATACCCAATCACTCTGAAGCATTCTTTTTTTCCCTAGGGTCATGAGAAATGCCCGGTCCGAATGTTGAAATTTCTTTTACTCTCAAAAGAAGTCAGAGAAAATGTAGTTAAAAACAGGTAGAATGGGGCTGTTGTAAGGGACAATATAACTCAGTCTGAGATCTTTACTTACATGTATTTACCAAAATATTTTAAGTGCTATGTATGTGCCAGGTTCTAGAGGGCATAAACATATGACTTTTTTGCCCACAAGGAGTTTGTTGTGCTTTCAGTGTCTGTATTGTCTCTCTGAATCTGCTGCCACCAGTAACTAAATCATTAACTATGCAAAGTCCAAAGATAAAAGCCAGAGATTTAAGTTCTGCTGGTAACTAGCTATAATTAGGGAATAAGATTGTCTTGTTTTTTTTTTTTTCTGTCCTCAGCTTTTCCTTTAGTGGGTCAAGTGGTTGGGTTTGACTAATAACCTTGGGATTTCTTTAACCTTCTCTGCCTAATATTAAAAAGAATAGGCCTCAAAGTTTCATCATCTTTACATATTGACATCTTCTTGGCCCTCAGAGAAAATGCAAGAACTGTGGGACCCTAAGAAATATAAAGTTGAGCTCAATCTCTAAGGCTGATTTTAGCAAGATTGTAAAATTCACATGATTAACTTACCTGCTCCCAGCTAAAATTAGTCCTGTCTTTTATCTTAATTATACCCTAGCTTTCCCTTGGGCCATGGGTCTCCATGCCCTCCACCAGCATCCCCAGGCCCTTATCAAAGAATAGTCTCATTAACCCTGATGTATCCGTGACTGGCAAGAAAAATTACATAATTTTTATTCACATGTTCTAAAGGCTACAAAATGTTAAATTGAAAACAAGAGTGCTAACATTTTCCAGATATGATGAAATTCTGTCACACTAACAGTTTTGAATACTTATAATAAATCATCTTTCTGTTTGAACCTTTCCTCCAGTGCAACATAGTTGAAAATCTGGGAAACACACTGGCTGCCTTAAAGTATAGAGCAGCCATATTCATCATGAAAGGTACTGAAAAGTTTTTAAGACAAAAAAACTAGGATGTACTGGGGTTTATCTATACTTGAGTTATGATTGTTCTAGTTTTAAATTAGTCACATCATAACTCATTTTGCAGAAACAACCACCTAATACACAGATATATTGACATTGACAATTGATGGTTCAGAGATAGTCCAGATCAGTTTACCTTTTCTCACCATTGGAAAATCATGTATGTTCTGTGAAATATAAGAAAAAAAGGCTTTCCTCTCCCATTAACTACAAGCCAAGTATATGTTTTTTTTTTTTTGTTAGTGTTTCTATTTGCCATAATTTTTTTTTTAATTTTTATTGGATTATAGGTTTTGGGGTACATGAGCAGAGCATGCAAGACAGTTGCGTAGTTACACACATGGTAGTGTGCTTTCTTTTCTTCTCCCCTTCACCCACATTTGGCATTTCTCCCCAGGCTATCCCTCCCCACCTCCCCCTCCCACTGGCCCTCCCCTTTTCCCCCCAATAGACCCCAGTGTTTAGTACTCCCCTTTCTGTGTCCATGTGTTCTCATTTTTCATCACCCACCTATGAGTGAGAATATGCGGTGTTTCATTTTCTGTTCTTCTGTCTGTTTGCTGAGGATGATGTTCTCCAGATTCATCCATGTCCCTACAAACGACACAAACTCATCATTTCTGATTGCTGCATAATATTCCATGGTGTATATGTGCCACATTTTTCCAATCCAGTCTATTATCAATGGGCATTTGGGTTGATTCCAGGTCTTTGCTATTGTAAACAGTGCTGCAATGAACATTCGTGTACATGTGTCCTTATAGTAGAACGATTTATAGTCTTTTGGATATATACCCAGTAATGGGATTGCTGGGTCAAATGGAATTTCTATTTCTAAGGCCTTGAGGAATCGCCACACTGTCTTCCACAATGGTTGAACTAATTTACACTCCCACCAACAGTGTAAAAGTGTTCCTTTTTCTCCACATCCTCTCCAGCATCTGTTGTCTCCAGATTTTTTAATGATCGCCATTCTAACCGGCGTGGGATGGTATCTCAATGTGGTTTTGATTTGCATCTCTCTGATGATCAGTGACGATGAGCATTTTTTCATATGATTGTTGGCCTCATATATGTCTTCTTTCGTAAAGTATCTGTTCATATCCTTTGCCCACTTTTGAATGGGCTTGTTTGTTTTTTTCCTGTAAATCTGTTTGAGTTCTTTGTAAATTCTGGATATCAGCCCTTTGTCAGATGGGTAAACTGCAAAAATTTTTTCCCATTCTGTTGGTTGCCGATCCACTCTTGTGACTGTTTCTTTTGCCATGCAGAAGCTGTGGAGTTTCATTAGGTCCCATTTGTCTATTTTGGCTTTTGTTGCCAATGCTTTTGGTGTTTTGTTCATGAAGTCCTTGCCTACTCCTATGTCCTGGATAGTTTTGCCTAGATTTCCTTCTAGGGTATTTATGGTGCCAGGTCTTATGTTTAAGTCTTTAATCCATCTGGAGTTAATTTTAGTGTAAGGTGTCAGGAAGGGGTCCAGTTTCTGCTTTCTGCACATGGCTAGCCAGTTTTCCCAACACCATTTGTTAAACATGGAATCCTTTCCCCATTGCTTGTTTTTGTCAGGTTTATCAAAGATTGTATAGTTGTATGTATGTTGTGTTGCCTCCGGTGCCTCTGTTTTGTTCCATTGGTCTATATCTCTGTTTTGGTACCAGTACCATGCTGTTTTGATTACTGTAGCCTTGTAGTATAGTTTGAAATCCGGTAGTGTGATGCCCCCCGCTGTGTTCTTTTTGCTTAGAATTGACTTGGCTCTGCAGGCTCTCTTTTGGTTTCATATGAAGTTCATGGTGGTTTTTTCCAGTTCTGTGAAGAAAGTCAATGGTAGCTTGATGGGGATAGCGTTGATTCTGTAAATTACTTTGGGCAGTATAGCCATTTTCACAATATTAATTCTTCCTAACCATGAACATGGAATGTTTCTCCATCTGTTTGTGTCCTCTCTGATTTCGTTGAGCAGTGGTTTGTAGTGCTCCTTGAAGAGGTCTCTTACTTTCCTTGTGAGTTGTATTCAAAGGTATTTTATTCTTTTTGTAGCAATTACGAATGGCAGTTCGCTCTTGATTTGGCTTTCTTTAAGTCTGTTATTGGTGTAGACGAATGCTTGTGATTTTTGCACATTGATTTTATATCCTGAGACTTTGCTGAAGTTGCTTATCAGTTTCAGGAGTTTTTGGGCTGAGGCAATGGGGTCTTCTAGGTATACTATCATGTCGTCTGCAAATAGAGACAATTTGGCTTCCACCTTTCCTATTTGAATACCCTTTATTTCTTTTTCTTGCCTGATTGCTCTGGCTAGAACTTCCAGTACTATATTGAATAGGAGTGGTGAAAGAGGGCATCCTTGTCTAGTGCCAGATTTCAAAGGGAATGCTTCCAGTTTTTGCCCATTCAGTATGATATTGGCTGTTGGTTTGTCATAAATAGCTTTTATTACTTTGAGATACGTTCCATCGATACCGAGTTTATTGAGGGTTTTTAGCATAAAGGGCTGTTGAATTTTGTCAAATGCCTTCTCTGCGTCAATTGAGATAATCATGTGGTTTTTGTTTTTGGTTCTGTTTATGTGGTGAATTACATTGATAGACTTGCGTATGTTGAACCAGCCTTGCATCCCCGGGATGAATCCTACTTGATCATGATGAATAAGTTTTTTGATTTGCTGTTGCAATCGGCTTGCCAATATTTTATTGAAGATTTTTGCATCTATGTTCATCATGGATATTGGCCTGAAGTTTTCTTTTCTTGTTGGGTCTCTGCCAGGTTTTGGTATCAGAATGATGTTGGTCTCATAAAATGATTTGGGAAGGATTCCCTCTTTTTGGATTGTTTGAAATAGTTTTAGAAGAAATGGTGCCAGCTCTTCCTTGTGTGTCTGGTAGAATTCGGCTGTGAACCCATCTGGACCTGGGCTTTTTTTGTGTGGTAGGCTCTTAATTGCTGCCTCAACTTCAGACCTTGTTATTGGTCTATTCATAGTTTCAGCTTCCTCCTGGTTTAGGCTTGGGAGGACACAGGAATCCAGGAATTTGTCCATTTCTTCCAGGTTTACTAGTTTATGCGCATAGAGTTGTTTGTAATATTCTCTGATGATGGTTTGAATTTCTGTGGAATCTGTGCTGATTTCCCCTTTATCATTTTTTATTGCATCTATTTGGTTGTTCTCTCTTTTCTTTTTAATCAATCTGGCTAGTGGTCTGTCTATTTTGTTGATCTTTTCAAAAAACCAGCTCTTGGATTTATTGATTTTTTGAAGGGTTTTTTGTGTCTCAATCTCCTTCAGCTCAGCTCTGATCTTAGTTATTTCTTGTCTTCTGCTGGGTTTTGAGTTTTTTTGGTCTTGGTCCTCTAGCTCTTTCAATTTTGACGATAGGGTGTCAATTTTGGATCTCTCCATTCTCCTCATATGGGCACTTATTGCTATATACTTTCCTCTAGAGACTGCTTTAAATGTGTCCCAGAGGTTCTGGCACATTGTGTCTTCGTTCTCATTGGTTTCGAAGAACTTCTTTATTTCTGCTTTCATTTCGTTGTTTACCCAGTCAACATTCAAGAGCCAGTTGTTCAGTTTCCATGAAGCTGTGCGGTTCTGGGTCGGTTTCTGAATTCTGGGTTCTAACTTGATTGCACTATGGTCTGAGAGGCTGTTTGTTATGATTTCAGTTGTTTTGCATTTGTTGAGCAGTGCTTTACTTCCAATTATGTGGTCAATTTTTGAGTAGGTGTGATGTGGTGCTGAGAAGAATGTGTATTCTGTGGATTTGGGGTGGAGAGTTCTGTAAATGTCTATCAGGTTTGCTTGCTCCAGGTCTGAGTTCAAGCCCTGGATATCCTTGTTGAATTTTTGTCTGGTAGATCTGTCTAGTATTGATAGTGGAGTGTTAAAGTCTCCCACTATTATTGTGTGAGAGTCTAAGTCCTTTTGTAAGTCCTTAAGAACTTGCCTTATGTATCTGGGTGCTCCTGAATTGGGTCCATATATGTTTAGGATCGTTAGCTCTTCTTGTTGTATCGATCCTTTTACCATTATGTAATGGCCTTCTTTGTCTCTTTTGATCTTTGTTGCTTTAAAGTCTATTTTATCGGAGATGAGAATTGCAACTCCTGCTTTTTTTTGCTTTCCATTTGCTTGGTAAATCTTCCTCCATCCCTTTATTTTGAGCCTTTGTGTATCCTTGCATGTGAGATGGGTTTCCTAGTATATGTTATAATGGAAAGAGCAGTTGCCTTAGAATCAGAAATCTTTGAATCCCATTTCTAAGTCTCTAATCAGTGACCTTGTTGCTAAAGGGCTACCTTTTCACATTTCCTGTCCTCAATCAAAAAACAAGGCACTTCAAGTCTTATTAAATTTACACAACAATCATTAGAAATAGGCATTATCCTCATTTTATTTATTTTTAATTTTTTTATTTTTTTATTTATTTTTATTTTGGTGTGTACATAGTAGGTGTACATATTTATGGGGTATGTGAGATGCTGTGATACAGGCATACAATGTGAAATAAGCATGTCATGAAAATGGGGTATCCCTCACCTCAAGCCTTTATCTTTTGAGTTACAAATAATCCAATTACATTTTTTATTTTTAAATATACAATTGTTATTGACCGTAGTTACTGTGGTGCTATTGAATAATAGGTCTTATTCATTCTTTTTCTATTTACTATTCAGCCATAAGAAAGAATGAGATACAGTCATTTACAACAACACGGATGGAACTGGAGATCATCATGTTAAGTGGAATAAACCAGGCATTACCCTCATTTTAAAGAGGATAAAACTAAAGTCCAGATAGGTCAACAAACTTGTCAACATTAAGTAATAGAAAAAAAATGGATCCAAGCTTGCACTTTCCACTGACTACTGGCAAACATTCAGGTTTTGAACTATTCATAAAAGAGCCCTCACATAGGTTCTGCTATTTTTCCAGCTGTGTGACCTTGGGCTAGTTACTTGATCTCTCTAAGCCTCCGTTTCTTCATGCACCAAGTGGGAATAATAATACTTATCTTTTAGCATTTTACAAAGAATGAGCTGCAATCTCCATAAAGTATTTGTCACATAAATCATACCTAACAAACATGAATTCCTTTTATTTTTCTTTATTTATATGTTAAGTATTCATAATTATGCCATCTATGCAATATAATAAAATAAGAACACTAACTGTTTTGTTTTCCATGTACTTAGTGGTAGAAATATTCACAAAAATCTATAATGGCAGGATAAAAATAGATAGAAGTTGGACAACCTTGGTCTTATTCCCAGTCCCATCAATAATTGTCTCAAATGTCTTCATCACTGTACCTCAGTCTCTTCATCAATAAAATGAGAACTGTTATTGATATCTCATCTATCCTATATGTTTGCCCAAATACGAAATCAACAAATACTTTGTGTTTTAAAAAGCTTGACTTCTCTTTCACAGATTAACGACTTTTCCAATAATGAAATCAAACAAAGGTAAACATGCCAATCATATTCTCTACAGCATGCTGCAAAATCATTTGAATTGATGTTTCCTCAGACTGAGAGTTGGTAACCACTGTACAAGGGGATGTGAAGGCAAAAAGTGATGCAGAAATGGTTAAAAGAAGAGATGTCAGAATGAGATCGAGCTAAGATTCAATGCTGCTTTCACTGTTCTTGAACTATACGGACTCAAGTGAAAATTTTCTAAGCAATCTGTGCTTAAGACTTGGTAGACAATATAAGATATATACCTGATCTCATGGAGTTTGCATCTGTAGGAAGATAAGATAGATCAAATACCCCATATCACATGAAAAATAATAATAAATGCCAAAAGGAACCACAAAGTTCTGTAACGGCTCATACTAGAAAGAAATCCTCTCCCAAGAGAGCACTAGATTAGGGGCTTTATGGGGGAGAAGGCATCTGGGTTGTCTTTAAAACAAGGATAGAGGGAAACAAATTAGTTAGAAAACACCAGAGGGAAGAAACATACTGAATGAGGGCAAAGGGGCTGGAAAAAATGGAAAGAGGCCATTTGGGCTGGGTGCCCAGTGGGAGTGTTGAAGGTGGAATGTAGCTCATCAGGCACCAATTTAAAGACATGAGAGTTTATCCCTTCAGAGCAGAGATTCTGTCACATATCCATCAGTAGAGCAACCTTTGGGAAAACCAGTGCAGCCACAACAGCCCAATCCAAGTAGATAGGGATTTTGCACGTGGGTTAGTGGAGTCTGGAGCATAAGGATTAGTGTAAGAAACTCATGCACAGGGAAAAATGTCCTTCTGTACTTAGCTCAGTGTGACTTTAACAGTGGCTATAATTATTCTGAAAACGTATGTTGTTACGGGTATTGGGACATCTGAACTTTCTGTTGTTGTAGGAGTTTGTCCTTTCAGGCATTATCAAGCTACTTCCTTAGCTGTAAACATCTTAGGTCATGACTTGTAAGGAATGTGGCTCACTAGTTTTAAAATGGAATTGATTTAAAATGTCACTCTAGCTGCTCTGGGCTCCTGCTTCCCTAGCAATGTATCCTGGGATATATTAAATAGGCAACAAATGTTCATTGAACAAATGAATGACTACACCTTCTTGGGTTAAAGAACTACTGAAACTAGTCCAACTCTGGGTCTTAGAAAATGTACTGGAGACATGTATGAGCTCCCTAAGATTCATACGACAGTATTTATAGCCTTATTTCTCTTTTTTTTTCTTTTTTTTTTTTTTTTTTTTTTTTTGAGACAGAGTTTCGCTCTTGTTACCCAGGCTGGAGTGCAATGGCGCGATCTTGGCTCACTGCAACCTCCGCCTCCTGGGTTCAGGCAATTCTCCTGCCTCAGCCTTCTGAGTAGCTGGGATTACAGGCACGCGCCACCATGCCCAGCTAATGTTTGTATTTTTAGTAGAGATGGGGACTCACCATGTTGACCAGGATGGTCTCGATCTCTTGACCTCGTATGCACCTGCCTCGGCCTCCCAAAGTGTTGGGATTACAGGCGTGAGCCACCGTGCCTGGCTCAGCCTTATTTCTTAAGATAATGACACTGAAGTTCTAAAAGTTTAAATGGCATGCAATATGCTTTTAGCTTATAAGTAATGGAGCTAGAATCAGAACTGTAATCTCTCCTGATTCTTACTCCAACATTTCATAGAATAGAAAAATATATCGCATTGTGGAAAGTGGCAGCCATGATTAGAATTGGGGAAGAAGTTTAGGAAACTTCTATAAAGGGCTAGATTTATGAATTCTTCAGTCTAGTGATTTGATTAATCAGTTATAATTAATTGATTAACTATAACATGAATAGGTAGAAAGAGGCAAAATAAGAACTGGTATCCAAGAACCATTTCAGATTCCATATATGCTGAAAGAGTGATATTGATTAGGCTCAGTATCCTAGTTAGTTTCACCACGAAACAAAGTCCTCCTTAATGTTTTATAAACCTCATACTTTGTAATTGTAGTACTAAATAAGTTTTTCCAAGAGAAAAGACATCCATTAGGAAAAATGGTAACAGAATCTATGATAGCAGTGTTTATTTTATCCTCTATACCAAAGTGATGACATTAAAACCTTCCAATATTGTATTATTCTTAAAATTGAACCAAGTCCAAGTCCAAAAAGTGAAAAGAAAAAGCCATCTCAGAAGAAATTTTGACAGTTCATAGTAAATCTATTTTCAAGAACAATAGAGATTATGATGTTAGATAGATAGATTGATTGATTGATTGATTGATTGATAGAGATTAGCACATCCAAGGACCGTCTCATTTTGTAAATAAAGAAACTGAAGTCAATTAGGAAAGAAATTACTTACCATATTCATAGCTAAATTAGAACCATGGAATTACACTATTATTCTTCTCATTTTAAATATAATGTAATAATACACAGTAATACTGATCGATCAAGCACTAAAAAATGTAGTTTATGAGAGATCTATTCTCCGATTATTTTGTTTGCTCTAGATTTTAATTGAAAATGCTAGCTTATTTTCTTGGTATGTCATTCTCAATTGCTGTAGTCCTAAACAAATGTAAGAAGAAAATCATCCATTTGAACATTTGGATGGTCGTGAAGGTTGTGTAGGACCAGTAACTGTTTAGTTCACCATTATTCATGTTAGTCTTAAAAGTGATTGTTCTTTGCTCTGATAATGATTGTAATACATATTAATAGAATTACCAGTTAAATATCTTTAAAATGCTTTATTTACTTTTTATGTCAAAAGAAATTAACATAGGCAAGATGAAAACTTTGAAGAAGTCTAGATGCGACATAGAATAGGAAAGAGGCTGTCCAGATTGCATTATTGTTTTAGTTCACCCAACTTCAAATTACTGATAACAAACACGTTGGTCAAAGATGAATGAATGGATTTCCTTTTTCACCAAGCTCTCAGGATTGCCATAATCAAAAAAGTTAAAAGAAAAATAGTAGATGTTGCCCTGGATACGGTGAACAGGAAACATGTCTCCACTGCTGGTGGGAATGTAAACTAGTGCAGCCACTATGGAAGGCAGTGTAGAGATTCCTTAAATAACTAAAAATAAAACTACCATTTGATTCTGAAATCCCATTACTGGGCACCTATCCAGAAAAAAAGAAGTCATTATATAAAAAGATACTTGCACACTCATGTTTATAGCAGCATGATTCACAATTGGAAAAATGGGGAATCAACCCAAATGCCCATCAATCAATGAGCAAATAAAGAACCTATGATGTATGTGTATATATGCATATATACATGATGGAATACTACTCAGCCACAAAAAGGAATGAATCATGTGGCATCCACAGTGACCTGGATGAGACTGGAGACTAATATTCTAAGTGAACTAACTCAGGAATGAGAAACCAGACATCGTTATGTTCTCACTTATAAGTGGGAGCTAAGCTATGAGGATGCAAAAGCATAAGAATGACACAGTGGACTTCGGGGACTCAGGGGGAAAGGGCAGGAAGAAGGTGAAGAATAAAAGACTACAAATCGTGTGTAGTACACACTGCTCAGGTGATGGGTGCACCAAAATCTCACAAATCACCACTGAAGAACTTACTCATGTAACCAAACACCACCTGTGCCCCAATAACCTATAGAAATAAAAAAATTAAATAAAATGAATAAATGAAGTCAAGCAATTGTCTAAATAATGAATTACCTAAAAGCAAATATTTACTTCCACTTGTTTTATATTTTTTGGCTAAGTGCAGCCCTTGTGAAAATGGTTTTGTAATTTTTTCTGCATTTTTAATTCACTTATTTTTAGAGTTCAAGAGGTAAGAATAGGCTAATAATACTGTGAATCAAAAAATAAATGTTTTAATTGAATATACATTTAGATATTTTGTTTTTTTCAAAACTAGTAAAATATAATGTCTGAATTATAGTTAACTACTAAGCATGCTTATTTGATCATGTCTGAGAGAATTTTAAATGTTATTCCTACTTTTAATAAATTGCTCAAAAGGAAATTTGTTAGAACTATATATTGCTCTTCCTACTTCACATATTAACCAAATATAAAATATATCACGTTATCCATAAATCCAGTTGAATATAAAAAACAACAAAAGAAAAAAACTGCTGTGTAATGAATTTGACTATTTGGTTAGTGATTTTGCTTTTAACTTTTAAAATATTTTAAATTTTAAGCCAGTAATGTCTACTCTACCTCTGCAATTAGACGTCTGATTTACTGATTATAAATGATCTTTATATTTAGTTAGAAAAAAGATTTCATTTTAGTTGTTAGATACATCTGAAAGGTGAACTTTTTTAAAAACTTTACATTGTTGAATAAACCAGTGAGAAACTATTTTAGAAGGATTTTTCTCTGATTTAATGTATAAATCACAAGCCACACTTAATTAAATATTAATAATAGTATTAATAATTTATTTTTTATTAATACTAAATTATATTTAGCTATTCTTTTAATTCAAAGAATAATTATCTTTACCAATACTGGCTGAACAGCATCAATACGTGGGAAACTCTTTCACAATTGTCTACTGCTAATTAATGTCCTCCACACATCACACAGAAAAATCTCATGAAAACATACATTGTGCTGTATCGCTCTTCTTCAGAATACTTACACTTTTCTAAGAATAAGAATAAGCCCCTACTGCTCTCCACAGTTCCTCAGCCCTGCATGGGCCAGCAGCTGCTTCCCCAGCCATACTGGTTTCTTTCACTGCTTTCTTTTATTCCCTCAAAGGGAGCACACTCTTATTTCTCTAGTTTTGGTCCAGTAACTCTTAACTAAGAAAGACCTCAATCTTTCTCTTATCTCTCCTTCTGGTTCTTGTATGCAATCTCCTCAGAGGAAGACATCCTTCCTATTGCCTATCACTGCCTCTTGAAAATTATTTCTTTATTACAGCTATCATAATTTGTCACTGTATGTATATATGTACATAATATGTATTTATAAACATAGAGAATAAGTACATGACATATATTTGTCTTGAGAACAAGATACATTTCTGTTTTGTTTAACATTATATTACATAGTCATGAAATAATACATTATCAATGAGTAAATGAATCCTTTAATATATTAATTAACATATGACCAAATCTTCTGCTTCTGATCACTGTTGTCCTCCTGTACACACAAGTAGTCTAAATTCACCAGAAACAAACTTATACATAGACAAATTAAGATTGTTCTGACACATTGCAAAGAGAGGGAACACACGTCAGGGAAACTATGGAGTATTTCTTCAAACATAGGAAAAACTAGAGCTATCACTGAATTTTCAGGAAGAAAGAAGTTTAGGTGAAATTTAAATGAAGCAATATTTTGATAGAATGCTACAAAGCAGGATATGTAAAGGGAACAATGAGAAGTCCAAACCAAAAATTAGATTCAGGGTTCTGTTTCCCTGGAAACTACAAAATTAACACAGATGTGGACTGTTGCATTAGAAAACCATTAATCTGAATTTCTGCACCTGAGTTGGAATTCTCCTCTGTATCAAAATGACTTAGATTCTCCAGAAGAGAGAAAAATATTTTACCTCACTGATATAATTTCAAAAAAATAATTTCAGATAGTCTGTGATTTTAAAGAAACAGGTGCTTTATTTTATTTATTTATTTTTCAGTGAGTAACATAACATTGAGCAGTAGCTCAATGAAGGAAGTTGTTTGGACACATGAAATCCCTGCCATGTGCTTGGAGGAAACATTTTTTGCTGCTGAGATTGCACCTGGATTTATGTACCCTTCACAAGTGACTACTGGGCAGATGTTGGCTATCAGAGCTATTTTTACTTTCTCCCTTTCAGAAGGTAGTTATCTTAGATTAAGAGTGAAGGTTAGTGTCTCATTACCAGCTGTTACGTCCTCTGCTTTGAAATAGCTCTCCTTAAAGCTCCTTTCACATCTTGGTTCCTCAGGCTATAAATCAAGGGGTTGAGCATGGGTGTGACCACCGTGTAGAAAACCGCAATGATCTTGCCCCCACCCCAGGAGGACTTCGACTGGGGTCTCATGTACATGAAGATGGCAGTCCCATAAAATAAGGTCACCACTGTCAAATGGGAGGTACAGGTGGATAATGCCTTATACCGCCCAGAGGCTGACTGCATCCTGAGAACAGATCGAAGGATCCAAACGTAGGAAACAAAAATGAAGAGGAAAGGGATGAAGACAATGACGATACTGAAGATAAAAACGACCAGCTCCGTGAATGAGGTGTCAGTGCAAGCCAGCCTCAGGACAGAAGGTACCTCACAGAAAAAGTGATTCAGGATGTTAGGCCCACAGTAGGGCAAACTCAAAGTGAAAACATTAATAACCATGGAACTCAGAAAGCTACCGGACCAAGAAATGACTGCCAGTTGAATGCATGTGTTTTGGTCCATAATGAAAGCATAATGAAGAGGATGGCAAATGGCTACATATCTGTCATAAGCCATGATACCAAGGAGGATACACTCAATCATTCCAAAGGAGAGGGAGAAGTACATCTGAGTAGCGCAGCTGGAGAATGGGATGGTGTTTTTCCCCACCATGTTGGACAGCATTTGTGGAACATTGGTGGATGTGTAGCAAATGTCCAGAAAGGATAAATTAGTGAGGAAAAAGTACATGGGGGTTTGGAGGCGAGGTTCCCTCTGGATGATAGTGATGATTATAACGTTTCCAGCCACCGTTAATAAATAGAAGAACAAGAACATAATAAAAAGAATCAGCTGCATCTTTGGTTCAGGGGACAAGCCCAGGAAGACAAATTCAGTGACAGTGAAGTTTGTGTTTATTGACTCCATCTCTCAAGGCTCCTTCCTCTCACAGAACCATTAACTCACCTGAAGACAAAATCAAATGCCCTATATGTCAGAATTTTGTAAACTCAAGACGGAAAAAAAATAAGGAGAAATCTTGGTCTAAGATGGTGTGCTGAGTATCTGAGTTTTAGTACAAATGGGAAGCTTTTCTTCTGCTTTTTCAGGGAATATTTGATGAGATCAGAATGTCAAATTCTGATAAGAGTTAGGCAAATATTCTTTCATTTTCTAAAAAGGAATGCTCTTTTGCCTATTTGTAATCACTTCAAACTCGATTCATTATTGTTGTTGTTCTCTACCTAACAACAGAGGAGCACAACACAACACTCAAATAAATGGCAATGAAGATTATTGCTACATGCATTACCCCACTAATTTATACATAAAGCCAAGCTGCTCCTACATTGCCCTGATGCAACATTCTAGTCCTTAGAAACCCCGATCCCAAAAGAACAAAGAGTATGGACACTAACAAAAACTGTCATGAGGCACATTAATTGTCAATTCTTTCACCTTACCGTTTCCATACTGTGGAATCTGGGAGGATCTCATTATGCATAAAACAAGAATCATAATAGAATCGATTTCATGAGAACCTTTAAGGCCTAAAATTAATAATGTATACAAAGAATTAAAGGCAATGTCTACACATGGGAAGCAATTCATAAACAGCATCTATTATTAATAGCCCTAATAACATAAAGGGATGCTACATCTATCTGGAATTTACTTCTCTAATAATAAACATTTCAAGAAAATAATATTGATGAAAAATATCTATTTACTGAGAGCTCTGTGAGCCCCTACCTGTGCCCATTTGCTCTCAGTTCACATACCGTGTTAGTATGTTTGCTTAATGACCTCTAGCCCTAAGCAGTTCAAGGGGAGCAACTTAGAAAGATGTTTGGTAATGAAAAAGCCTAGAGGTAGGCATAGTTAAATAACAAAAAGTAGCTGTCAATCATTCATCCATTCATGTATTAATTCTTTTTTTATTTCTTTGGTCCTTTTTTCTTGCTTTCAAAATTATCTTTCTGATATTGTAGTATTTACTAGACATAGAGTATACATTGGTAAATACAACATATATTCATAATACTGTCATGAGCTTATAGTCACAGCAAGTTGCAATAAAGGAAGCAAACTGGTTCCTAAGGGAGTGAAGACTCTTGCTCAAGAAGACATTTAAGAAACAAGCAGTTGCAGGTCAGGAAAAGCAATATATCAAAGTATTGCTTTGTAAATAATACTGACTCATATGTAGTATGCGTTAGAGGGCTTTCACACAAGCTTTGATTTAAATCATGGTTTTCAAATCAAATAATTCAATGAACTGGAAAAGCTTTTCATTTAAAATGTCATGTCCAGGGACAAGAAAAGACGGACCTGGAAGGAGGAGTGAGAAGTCAAGTCACAGTGTCCTACTTCATCAGAGGCAGCAGGGAGGTCAGTGGACAGGAGAGGCTACAGGGTTCCCTTCCAAGTCCTCCAGATAGCAATCAGAAAGTTCTGCTTTAAATAAGAAATGCTCTGATGATCTTTAGAAGTGATTATAGTAACAACAACTGATATCCAGAGTGAATTTATCTATTGACAACATGATCAAGACAACATGATCTATTGACAACATGATCCAATCCAGAGACCATGTGACTAGTGGTGAAGCACACAGGACCCACCATCAGAGAGCCTGCATTACAAGCCAGGTCCACCACTGGCCCACTGAGAGGCCTGTGCAATTCACACCACCTATCCATGCCTCATTTTCCTCATCTACAGGATAGGGTAAAACTAGCATCTATCTCCTAGAGATGCTGAAAAAATTAAATGAGATAATGCATGTAAATCAACTAAAACAGAGTTAGGTATAGATGGTAAGTGCTCAATATATGTTAACTATTATCATTTCATTATCTATACATGTTATTATTTTATTATCTATATTTCTGATAATATTATTTCATTATACTGTATGATCCTTATTAGAGGATTCTTGTTATGTGCACAGAATAAGAATTATTGGTGACTCTTATGAAAAATGACAGAACGTATCCAAGATCTTTTGAGGATCTATTTTAATATGTGTAAAGGTACTTATGATATATGTAAGTAGAATACTTATATCTATACCATCTATATCTACATCTAAACATAGTAAGAAGACCACAGCAAAAATAATAGTCTTGGTTCAATAGTTACGCATGTACAAATAAAACTGGATCATAAAAAGAAACATTAAATATTTTAGGTCAACTTCTAAACATTGTCTACATTTTGAAGATTCAAAAAAATAGAATAACTCCTTAATCCCTCTGGATTGACAATTTCCTAAAAGAGCATCTTCAGTCACTTTACTGCTGTACTCCTGAAAGCCAGCTACAAATTATTCAATGGTTCTGTGCTTCAGAATATAAATCTATTCTGCTCTTATCATAACAGAGAGAGTTTCATCTCCTTCATAAGGAAAGAGAAATAAAGGCACCTTTGTAAAAAAAAGTGTAATACCCACAGTATGAAACGAACTCACCAAATTAAACCTGGAGTTTCAAGAATTTGCAATCATTTGTAGATTTCATATATGCCTCTTGATTAAATAAGCAATTGCCAAATTAGTTGTATACCCTTGATTTACCTCACAAGACAAATGCTGCTATTGTCAAATGCCCTTTCAGCTTGTCTCCCTGGAAATCGCCTATTAAGTGTTTTTATACTAGGTATGCATGCCATCCTGTTTTCCGTTAGGTTTCCGGGGTCCTCATAGGTTTGTTTATGCTTCTCCAACCCATAGCACATAATAAACACTGTTAAATGCTGCCAGAGCTCAAATAAGTCCTTCCTATTCTCACTCATCTTAAATATTTATCTTATATAAGGAATAAATTTACTCTTATAGTAGCTATGATTTACTATATGAGTAAATTTAATTCAGTCAAAGCTTTAATTCAGTCAAAGCTTATTGTCAAGCAGTCATTTATCTGTTCTTTTCTGAACAGCACTGTCTAATTCTCAAAAGCCATCTAACTCTATCCAAAAAAAGTTGACAAAAAGGCACAACCTGTAGCTAACTTATACTTTACCTTATGCCAGGGTATATGGAATTATATCAACATATTAGGCATTGTATGTATTAAATGGATAAATGACTCATCTTTCTATTCTGCAAATAATAGGAATAAATCTAATATACCTTTTACATCAACGTAGAAAAGTCTAATTTTCCTTCATAAGTCCAAAATTTGAAAACGCTAAAAACTTTAATCTTTGTAATTTAAACCACCTGTATAAGCAAATGCATTTCTTTCTCCAATGCATAATTAAATGTATTACTTACATTTGGTAGATAGGTTTGATAGATACTGGTGATATTATTAATCTCCAGTAATACTTCATTTTCAGGGGATAATTTTGCAAAGCAATATAGTGTGGGGGTTAAGACCATAAACTATGGACGTGGACAAGTAGGACATAAATTTTGACTCTGCCATTTCAGTTTTGAATCGCTTGGGCAAATTTCTAAATTTGTCTAAACTCATCTTTTTCCTTTGTTAAGCAAGAACTATATTAATATCAAATTCATAGAATTATTTTGATGATTATATTAGAAATGCACCTGGCAATTCTAACATAGTGTCTGACACATGGTAAGTACTTTATAAATTATAATTAATAGTATTATATAAACTCCAAATTTATTAAATTTGCTACCAATTTACTTGGGTTCTAAGAATGGAAATTCTACTAAATACAATCATATTTGGAACACCTGATATGCCACTATAGAGGCATTTAGATCCTACATAAATGCATACAAACTCTATGTGTGTTTAGCATCCCAACATTTTTATATCCTTTCACTGATTATCAGTTTGCCAATAATATTATTTAAAAATCCATTTTAAAAACTAAAAATTTAAATGCTAAGCAGGTTAAATATTGTATCATACCATAATCTTACTCCCTATCAAATAAAGTAAGAACATTAGGGAAGGTTGCCAAACCGGCCAAAAAATATCTTTCTAGTTAATCTGTCATTGAGTTATAAAAAGTATTCTGGATAAGTAATTACCACTTGATAAAACAAAAACACATCATTTACAGTGCTTAAAAATTAAACTGTCAATGATAACCTACCACTTAGTGTGCGATAGCATCACAAATCCTCTTGAATTAATCACTGGGACCTGGTTTTGATCAAAGCATGTAGGATAAAAGAGGAGAATATACAAGCAGAGGCTTCTGGAATTCCAGCCCTCATAGGGAGGCAAACTTTAAATCAGCAAGAATGTTATGCTGCAAAATTTTATAACAAAAGTTAGCAAATCCTGATGCTTCATGGAGGTGAATAAGTCACCTCTTCCTCCAAGAAAAACTCTATATATAGAAAGGAATAAAAATCACCAAAATAATTGATATCTATTGCTATACCTCTATTGGATGGCAGGCATTTTGCTAGGTACTTTAAAGACAGTAAATTTCAAATTTTATCTTCACAACTCTAAAATATGTTTATATCCATTTTAAAGATTAAGATACTGCAGATCAGAGAGGCTATACAACTTTCTCAAAGTTACAACATTTATCAGAATCATAATTAGTTCTCAAGTCTGAATAATAACAATAAGTCCTTAGTTAAATAACTGCTGGGTTTTTAATTATTATTTTATTATAACCATTTGCCTCTCAGTCAGGAAGAACAGACAAAACACACCCTAAGGTCATAAGGAATGCATGGACACCAGCTGCTTCATACCTGTCCTCTCCACGCATGCATGCAAACAAAATCCCATAAAAGACAAGGCAAATTTTGTCCATGTGAAAAAATACAACTCCATGGAAATAAAATAAATATTTTTATGATAACTGTAAAGGAGATACTGTTATAATCCAACTCAGTTATTTTGTATATCAAAAAAAGATCATGATAATGAATGCATACACAGCAAAATCCTTAAGTCATCTGAGTTTTTTCGTTTTAAGGCTGTAGGCTTAATTTTCGGTTCT